GCCCAGTGTGGCCAGCTTTTCAGATTCTTCAAGGAAAGCTGAGGATCCCAACTTGAAGGATTTTCTGATGCTGGAGTCTGATTCAAACTGTTTCAAAGGAAGTTCATGGGCCAAAGAAAGCCTGCCAGTGGCTGAAGGCAGTAGCCTGCTGACCCCCGGGTTCAGGATGTCTCCTCTAGAAAAACACAATAGAAAAAGAACAGAGTGATAGTCACAGCTCTAATGACACAGACTCAAATTCTATGCACATAAATTATACACAAGCTGTGCCCATAACGCAGGTTTCTAGGCGGAAACAGTGAGTTTAATACAATATAGGAAAATACCCTCTAAAAGATGCACAAATGAAATAAAACATACAACTTAAATGTCACATGGTTTCTTTTATAAGAGAAATCCAGAGTAAAAATAAAGAGAAAAAAAAAACACAATCAGAAGTAAGGAAATAGATTATTCAGTAAGAGAAGGGGGCTTAAGAGATGGAGGGAGGAGGGAAGGCATAAAAAAGAAATTGGGATGCCTTATGCACATATATGAACTCCACACAAGGAGTGCAAACATTACATACTCCACTGACTCCTGAGCAAGGACAGAGGGTGCTGGATTCACAAAGTCACCTGTGAACATGCCCGCGTCTGTGGAGCGCACACCGGGCATCCCACGCTGCAGCTCAGCTCCCGGCCCTGACAGACCTGCGATTTTTTCTGAGAGACGAGGAGGCTGAGGGAAAAACTCGCCCCAGCCACTGGGCTGGGGACCAGCCTGGGGAGGGACAGCACTGGGACGTGGACCCTGGGCGGCCTCGCAGCTGGGCCACGGCAAAGCCCTCGCCTAGAGCCTTCCTTGTGTGTAAGGAGTCTGTGGATGGCAGGGATGAGTGTGTCTGAATCTGGATTCTAATTCACATGGAACTGCTTGTTAAAATAAATGGACTATTCACTCTCCAGGTTTTGGGGCGGGGTATTATGCCAAACAATCAGGTATATTTTTCATAGGCTCAGAAGATATCTCTGAATTTTTCAGGACATGATGCCTATCAGCAGTATGACAATGTAGACAGGTAATCTGTAATATCAGCCAACAGGAGGTCCAGAAAAAATTTTTTTAAATTAATAGCATCTCATTTTAGTCTCTGGATTATTTCTTTTGTGCTTTTAAACTTAAGCAAATAATGCTGAACCCGGTGTTCACACTTGTAATTGCAGGTTTTCAGGAGGCTGAGGCAGAAGACTGCAAGTTCGAAGCCCAGTCACTTAGCAAGCTCATTTACCGAAAAAACTAAACCAGAGAGATTAAGTAGCATAACCGCCCAGCAGGTTTGGTGTTGTCACTACCAAGAATATATTCACTGAAACAGATGTAGCATTAGTTTAATTTTTCCCCAAAGCATTTATTTTTCTACCTCACTGCATTTAGATAAACAGTAAATGTGTGTTAAAGTGGTAGAAACCTGATTGTCTACATTCAACAGATAATTTGCTATTTACACACACGACCCCAGCATTGGACTTCAGGACAAGATGTAGAGTCTCAGGGAATAGGGGCCTGGGTCAGCTCACAGGTCTAATCCAACAGTTTCTGGCTCTGATTCCTCCTCACCTCTGCTTGGCTTCCCATCGACAGCTCAGCCAAAAGCACTTTCTGTCCTGGGAGTAGACATGTGGTCTGGGAGCACCATAATTGCTAGAAAGTTTTTCTTTATGCCAATGAAATTGAGCCCTGAAACTATAACTGGGTGATGTTAACTGTGAGGTCCTCGAGAAAAAAATCTCAAGAATATTTTTCAAAAGAAAGACCATTTTCATACCGGAGTTCCTGCACATACCAACAACAAAACTAAGGGAGGTTATTTTTTTGTTTGTCTGTCTTTTGGTTTTTGAGACTGGGCCTCACTGTAGTTCAGGCTGGCCTTGAACTCAGTATGTAGCCCAGGCTGGCCTTGAATTAGTGGTGATCCTCTTGCTTCAAGCTCGCAGGTGCTGGGATTACAGGTATGTGCCAGCTCAGTGAGCTTATTGTAATAAAAAAGTTTAAAAGAAAATAAAATCTGTTGCAGTGTGCCTTATGTACAGTTATGGGTCATATTCTTTGATAGGCTTAATTTTATCGACTACTGTTCATTTTTCTGAGAAGTAGGGCGGTGACTGAACTGGATGTAGGGGAGGCAGTATTATAAAGATACAAAGACATTCCACCATTCCCTTCCTGCAAACATCCCAGGCTCTAGCATCCTTTTAGTAAATAAGATGTATGACAACAATTATAGCGGCCCTTTCTCTTCGATCGTGCTCCCAAAACAGAGCCACAATACACATATCAGTCATGCTAACAGGACCAGTGAGATCCGTGTACTTTCATGGTCTCCCATAAGAAGAAAAAAAATATTGTGCTCTGTCTTCAGAAGTTGTTTTTAGACTTTCAACAGTGCCCTCTCCCAGGTTACGGAGCTGCACATTTTATGAAATCAGAATCAGAAATTACTGGCATGGGCCTTAAAGAGGGGATACAGGATACACTTTCTATTGAGAACTTTCTCTTAGGAAAATGTCACCGAACCAGTTTTTAGTAACTGCCAAAGCTGGGGAAAATCATACCACAAATCTCCAGAGTCCTTGAGATGTGCCAGACACAGCTGTGACATGGTGGCCCTCCCTGGTCTGCCCGAGTTTCACTAGTCAAGAAAAAAAAGACGTTAGTAGGAATGTCTCCTTCCTACACATGTGCTGCAGTTCACTAACGGACTAAGTATGTACTGCTAAAAATTGTTCCTTCCTGACTTTGCCTATTTCTTCCTTACCACTGGGAATCGGAATAAGCAAAGCAACACTCAAGATTTTGAAGAAAAAGAGAGAAGAATGGGCAGAACTTGTAATGAAATTGAGCTTCTGGATCAAAGAAACCCTGCCTTAAACTTGTCGGGAGAGTTAATATTTTTTAATCCTTCAATAGGAAACGTCCCTACATGCTGCAGCTGAGAAACCAGTGTTCGAAGCTGTAACTGAGTTGGTTTTAAGCTCATGGTGGACAAATATTTCTGACACATCCATAGGCACTCTGGCTGAACACAGAATACCACAACCTCACTCTCACACTCCCAGAACCCAAGAAACACAGACCCCAACTGGAGCAAGCCCACTACATTTTCTATGGAAAGTAAAGTCAAAAGCCAATACCTATTGCTTTCTCTTCCTTCTGCAAGACTGCCTGTATAATCAGAGGTCTGCAGAACTGGATGTGTTCTGGGAATTTTGCTAACAGAGGCGCTTAAGTACATTTGCAACATCAGGACCAATCTAAGGCTCAGGATTCTCCCCTTACATGGAAGCAAATGTTAAAGAGTGATAGAGTGATGGGAACACATGAAGTTTGTGCTCTTTTGTTTAAAAAAGGAAATAATAGGGCATCAGTCATGTTTAGCTCAGTAAAGATCTGGCATAGCATGAGTGCCCCAACTTGCCTGATCATACATTCACCTAAGTCATTTGTCAAAAACAAGGTTAATAGTGGGTGTGGCTCCTTCCTGTATTGGCCCTTCTTGGGAAGCTAAGAGGAAGACCTCAAGTTTGAAGCCAGTCTGGGCATCAAGACCTGTCTCAAAAAGAAAAAGGGGGTGGGGGTGGGGGAGAAAAAAAGAAAAAAACCCGATTTTCCAGCACTTTCCTTTTATGGTTCTAGTTCACCCTAGGTGACTTACAATTGAGAAATACTATACATTTCTAAAAAGGGGAAACTACTAATCTAACAGACAAAGAAATTTCTGTTATTTGAATTTTCTGAACAACCCTACAAGAAGGTGCTTGAGTGGCAATATTCTTACAACCAAGTCCTGCAGCAAACAACTTAAAATATTACTTTTGTGTAAAAATGGCCATAGATCCCAGACACAGTCATGCAGAAAAAGCTAACTCTTGAAAGGGAAATGAGACTTTTGAGGACCTTCTGGAACATCCCTCCAGAATCCACCCCCCTCCCCCAGCAGGGTCCTTGGTCTTCTTTTCCACAGAGGCAGAGTCTACAGAAGTCACAGGCTGGATGCTTTTCACTGAAAAGCAGTACTGAATCCATGAGTTTTCAGCAGGTGGAATTTCTTCCCAAACCACTGTGAATAATATCTTAAGGGAAAGCACTATTAACTTACTTTAGAGGGAAGTTGTCAGGTCAGACATGTTCACGTCCAACTCCACTAAAGATCAACAGAAACAAACCCAAATGCTTTGAATGCTTACAATGCAACAGGTGAATCAACTGTAGGTCATTTAGAGAAACACAGGTTACTGAAATCACCTTTCTTTTTTTCTTTTCTCGGTACCGGGGATCGAACTCACAACCTAACGCTTGCAAGGCAGGCGCTTACGCCGCTGAGCTAAATCCCCAGCCCCTTTCAAACCAGATTTTAAATGGACACATACAAGGCTGAGAGTAACACCGAGTAAGTTTCCTGAGCAGGCAGGGCTTGCACTAACATCTGTAAACTACCTTTTCTCTCGCGCCAGCTGATCTATTTATTCCTGGCAGAGAACAAAGCAGACGGTGCTCAGATGCCACAAGAAAACCATTCAGGAGCACTCGGACCGGGGCCAAAGGCCCAGCCCACCTGAATGAAAACCGAAAGGCAGCCACCGGCCGCCCAGAGAACTTCACTGGGTGCGTGAAGTCGCAGGCGCAGGACGATGTTCCCTGGTGCTGCGGCATAAATGACGGGGACGGCGCCAGGCCCCGGAGCCGGCCAGCGGGGAGGCGGGCCGCGCCCCGGCAGGTGCGGCTGCGGCCGGTCCGGCTCCCACCCAGCTCCTGGCTGCTCGCTGCGCCGGGCTTCCTTCCCCCGCGTGCAGCTCGGGGCAGCTCTGAGCGCGCAGGCTGGCGCAAAGGGGCCGCGCGCTCAAGTGCACAGAGGTGGGGCTCGCACAGAGCACGGACCCCGCCCGGGCCCGGGGCCGGGCCGGAAGCGCAGGCGTGCTCGGGACGGAACTCGGCGAGCCCCGGGCGGGCAGAGCTTTGTCCGCGCCACCTTTCCCGCGGCGGGCGGGCGGGAGCGGGCGGGCGCACGGGCGGGCCGCGCCAACGGCTCTGCCCGGCTGGGCTCGCGGCGCCGGAGCCTCCCAGATCGCGGGCGACCTCGGGCTCTCCCGCCGCGGGGAGAGGGGCGAGGCGCGCACACCCGGGCGCCCCTCGCGGCGCGGGCAGGTGGAGGGCGAGAGCGCCTCCGCCCCGCAGTCCCCTGCCGCCCCGCGGGCACAATTGTCTTAAAGGGGCAGGGGCTCGGACCGCAGCTACCTGGGCCCAGACTCTGTCTCCTGCTGCCACCCCGTTTGGGGGACACAGGAGGTCTCAGTAGGTTTCTCAGCCCCAGACAGAGTGCAAGTATTAATGCACCCAGAGTCCTTTTGCAACTTAATTCTTCTGGCCCACCTCATCCTCCCACTGCTCTTGAACACACGCCTGCGGGCACGCTGTAGCTGCCACCGTTAGCAAAGTTTGAAGAGCCGTGTCCCGGGGTGTGCAAGGCTCGCTGCTGCTGGGAAACGCCCGCTGCTATCCCCTTGACCCTGCCCTGTAACTGACCCTTGGAAAAAGCGCCCCCCCCCCCGCACAACTACTGCGCATGCTCTGAGCTGGACAGCTCCAGAGAGGGAAATTTAAAAACGGTTGGAGCTGAGACAGCGGCCAAATTGCGGAACGCGAGGGGCTAGCGCGAGGGAGCCCCCGCTGGAACCCCCGCCCGCCCCGGAGCGCCAGCGGAGGCGGCCCCGCGAGATCGGCTCCAGGTACCGCCTTGCAGGCTCGGCTTTGCGCTCTCCTCCGGGTAGCGCCCTGGACCGCACTTCCAGGGTAGAGAGGCAGGCTGCAGGGGACGCCCTCTGATCCCCCTTTCTCCTTCCCAGAAATTTCCCTAATAACTCTGGGGGGTGAAACTGATCAGAGGCTGGTGGGTTTCTGAGATCTTTTCAGTCCTGGAGTTTCAGAAACCTAGGGAATTCGATTTGGGGGGCGGGGGGCTGCTCATGCGTGGTGAGGATGGGTGGCAGTAGTGGTGGTGGGTGAACTAGTTTGCCAGCAATGACATGTGGCATTTCTAAGGGCATTTCCACGGTGAAAGTCATGAGAGATTATTCCCTTTGCTTGCAAGTGGGAATTGGGCTGCCCTTGAGAAACATCTGACACATCAACTTCCCTTTTTATCCTTATTTTGTAGGATTTTCAGAGTAGTCATAGGTGAAGTTGAAAACATGACTTGGAAGGGAATAGAATTCATGTGATTCCTTGTTTCAGAAACACATTTTCTGTCCTGACATTTGGGTTCTGGAGACTTCCCTCTGCCCTTCCCCCCGCGCACTCAGAAGAACCTGCAATTCCACTCCATTCTTTTCATTGGCTCCTACAACCCTGTAGAACCGCCCGCGAGGATTGTGACCTGTGGTGCTCAAGAACTCTTGCTTCTGTTAGTTGAGCTCTATCTTGAATTGTGGGAAAACTCACTTTCTGTCCTGTCCGCACTGTGGCTGATGAAAGCTTTGTTTTCTGCTTTTTTCCCCAAGGAGATGATAGAAAGTGACATCTCATCCATAATGTCAGGAATCATTCGAAACTCGGGGCCAAATCACCACCCTGCTCCACAGGAATACAGGTGAGGGTTTCAACAACAAACTATGTATTTTTAATTGCTTCAAGTGTTTATGTATGTGCTGCCTGTGGTTTCTGAAATGATTACTTCACTTCTGTGATTTTTTGCAGAACTAGAAGGTCTTGATTTCAGAGTTGGTCTCTCTGAAGATGTCTGGGCTTGGGCCTGGCACAGTGTGACCACCTGTCCCTTCCAAAAGAGGCCCCCTGTAGGGTTAGCCTGTTGGTCATCCTGATGACAGCATCAGCTACTGCTTCTCAGCTGGCCTAGCAAGGGTTCCAGGAAATACTCCTCAGCCCCACCTGTCCTAAACAGAAAGCTCTTTGGATGGAAGCCGTCCAAAGAGTGTTTCCTTGATGTTGGACAGTGTGAGCCAGAACTGGCTTCTCAGCCTAGCTGTGTGATTTTCAGTACGCTCTTTACCTCTCTGAGCCTCACTTCCTCATCATTATGTGATGCTATTGAATTAGATGATCCTTTGGTCTCTTCTAGGTCTCTAGGCCCCAAGAGTCAATTAGATAAATTATTTTCCTAATGGAAATTAAATTATTTCTTAAATCAGGATGTAGCAAGGTTAAAGTAAAGGCTGAGAAGAATCTTCAGAGCTCTGCCCTTTTTGTCTTTAAACCTCAGAGCTGCAATAGGCCCCATGGGCTCCACCAGTCCAGTCTCCTCCTTTTACAGATGGGGAAACTGATGCCAAGGGAGAAGAGGCTTGTCTAAGGACACACAGCCACTGGGAGGAAGGAGGAGAAAAGGGAAGGGCTTGGAGCCCCGTCCCTGTCTTCTTGGACCCAAGGAAGCCAGAGCCCCTGTGTAAGCACCATGACTGGGTTGAGGGCCCCAGACCAGATTAAGGCAGAGGGAGATGGTCTGGGAAGAGTAGGCTGTCACCTCAGATCAACTCTGTTTACCCAGGGGCTGTCTGGCCCCCTGGGGGCACTGGGGCTCCTGAGCAGTGCCTGCTGGGGCGGCCTGAAGCCCTCAATTGGAGGCTGAGTCCCAAAATGAAGCCACAAATCCAAGTGGATATTTGCAGACAGCCTAGGGCTCAGAGAGCTGGGCCCAGGTGTAGCAGCGTGTGCCCTGTCACACACCTCAGCCAAAGACGCTGCTCCTCTGAGCCCCACTGTACAGCTGAGCAAACTGAGGCTCAGAGGAGTAAAAGGGCTTTTCCCTAGCATCACAACCAAGGTTCTCTGCTTCCCTCTAGTGCTAACAGAGTTTAAATAACAATAGGGGTTGGGGTGTTAAAAGGGGTATCAGCCCAGGCTCTCCAGAATCAGTTATAGTCCCAGCTTCTTTGGCTGTGTGGAAGCTCATAGAGCCTCAGTTTTCATCAACTGTAAAATGGGAGCACAAGCTGTACCCACTGCATGGAGTTGCTATGATGACTAAGTCACCATTTCTGGCCCCGCCACTTGCTAATGCTGTGATCCTGGGCAGTGTCTCCTCTGAATTCTCACTGGTTTGTGGAGTGGGAGTAACAAAAGCTGGTGCTTGAGGGTTAAATGAGATATTACCTCCAAAGCTGCCTGGACCCCAGCAGGGGCAGAAAGTACCCTGTGAATCTCTCTCCCTCTGCCTCGGTGCCCTTGTCTAGCTGTCCCACTGAGGGTCAGCTGCACATGCTCAAAGACATTCTCTGATTATGGGAAAGGGGCTCTTCAAAGCCAGAGGAGGTGGGGGAGCACAAGGGTTAGAGCAGTTACCCAGAGTCAGACAAGTGCAGGTTGGGACCAGTCAAGAAACGTTCTTCAGTTTCTCACTTTTGAAATGGGCGTAAGCCAGACATGGTGCTACACACCTGTAATCCCGGCACTCTAGGATGCTGCACCAGAAAGATCACAAGTTCGAGTCCAGCCTGGGCAACTTAGCAGCAAGGTCCCATCTTATAACAAAAAATAACAAAGGGTTGGGGATGTAGCTCAGTGCAAAGGCTCTGGTTCAATCCCCGTTACTGCAGAGGCGGGTTGGGGGATGGTTTACAATGAGAATACATCCCTCCAGCCCTGGCTGGGATGATTAAATAAACAAAACTCAGAGCAACAGCCACATGACCGGTAGTTACTGCTGCCAGTACCAGTCTGTTACTGTAGAGTCCAGCTCTCTGTGTGATACAGGGCCATCAAGGCCTTCCAGTGGGACGTACAGAAGAACCGTGGGCAAGGGCAGAATCTCTGAATCCAGGTGCCCAAGCACTGCCTGGCAGGGCTCCCTCGCCCCTACCATGTCCCACAGTGTCTGGGGCTCCGGGTAGCTGCCCCTCTCCAAAACCAGAGCAGGGACGACACAGAGTGCATTGGGGGCCTGGCAGGGTGTACCCAGGTCACTGAGCAGCTGGCAGGATGGGGCTGGGGTGAGCAGGGATACGACCCCTGTCCCTGTCAGCACTGGACCTGGACGTCTAGTGCCCTGCCTGGCACAAACCTTTCCTCCTTGTGTAGATTCTGGGATGTTCTCCTTATTGCACGGCCAGGCTACCCAAAAGGCAGAGAAACGACGATGCCAACAATGACTGCAGCTGGCAGGGGATCCTGAGCCCTTTCCTGTCCCGGGTGCGCAGCACACATCCCAGCCAGATCCTCACCAGCGGTCCCTAGGCCCTCGTGATTATGTGGTGGGTGGGGAACCCAAGGACCACCCCCTTTAGGTGCCTAGCGAAAGGTCCTCTGCAGATGGCCGAGCGAGCATGAGGCTGGAGCACAGCAGGCCATCGCTTCCTGGATGTGTGATCCTAGACGTGTCACTGCTGCTCTCTGCACCTGTTTCCTCACCTGGGAAACCATCAGCGAACCAGGCCCCAGGAAAGGGGGAGCACTGTGCACCGGCAGTGGGCAGGGCGTTCAGCCCAGGCTGGGACAGGGCGCTTTCTCGGGAGGGGAGCTCTATGATTATGCAGCAACTCTCTGTTTCCAGTGACCGGTTTTCTCCCTGAATAATAGCCTGGGGAAGTTTATGGGCTTCTCTTTCTCTGTCCTACAGTCCCCAGAGAAGGCTTCAGCCCCCGCGCAGTCTGCTTTGCACAACCGCCTGGCCCTCCCTACCCTGGGGTCCAGTTTGGCCGTTGATTTTCAATGCCTGCAGGCAGGGGAGGCAGGGCCAACAGCTGGAGGCAGCAGCCCGGTCCCTGGGGAGCTGTCAGGAGTCCCTGCAGTGGGCTGAGCCAGCAAACTGCTAGCAGCCTCTGTGCAGGGTCACTGCCACTAGGGCGGAGGCCCGGGGTCTGGGGGCGGGGGTGTCTGACCCCAGCCAGAGCTACGTGGAGGTGCGCAGGGCTCATGCTCCACTTGACTACTCAGGGCTCCTCTTGGCTCAGATGGTGGGGCACAAGTCCACCCTGGGAGGTGCTGGAAAATAATTATGAGACATGTAGGTGCCCGGCACCTACTCAGCTCCTGTGCAGGCGCTCCGGTCCATGTCATGGTCACAGTAACAAGCACAAGGCAGTTATTGGCACTGTCCCAACCGACTGACAAAAATACTGAGGCCCAGACGTGATTTGCCCACAGGCACTTGGGGAGAGGCAGAGCTGCGGGCTAGCAGCCACCTGCCCCAGGATTGGGAATTTAGTCCAGAGGTCAGGTCCAACCAGTTCCTTTCATAGCCTGAGAATTCTGAGTCTCTTGGACCAGGAGGCTCACTGATCCTCCATACATGAACACCCTGCCCTGGATATTTACTCCCTAGAATCTCTGAATGAGATGATCCTTCCCCTATCTGGATAGTGATTTTCTCTATGGTTTGAAGTTCTGAGTGCACAGGTGACACTTACTGAATATTAACTGAGTGAATGGGAAAATACTGCACGAAAGGTTTATCTGCAGAAACCCAGGGAGATCCCTAGCTCTCTCTGAGCCTCATACTGTATGTGGGGGAAGGGACAGTGTATCCCCCATGTGAGGAAGCTCGCCCATTCATTGTAACTTGGGAGTGATGTCTTCCTAGGAGTAGTAACCCCTGCCACATCTCATAACCACTGTGCTCAAGGCAGGTAAAACAGATCTCAGTTACTTTACAGAAAAGGAGAAAAGGTGGATCCGACCTTCCTGGGACCTAGCCTTCTTTTGGGGTATCGCAATTTGACCCGCAGAAATATGTGCGTGCACATACCACACAGCAAGCTCCAAGCTGGCAATTAATCCAGAAAAGAGACTTTTTTTTTTTCTAAACTCCTAATCAAATCATTTCATAGTAACACACTTCTGGCTCAGCAGGGAATTTCTGAGCTTCCTCAGTGGTACATTACTTTCTTTTTCCTGTGAATGGTTACAAAGATATCACAAAAGATATGTTTGCTAAATAAAACATCCTTCCCGAAATGCGTTCCTGTTTGTGTAATGGTTGGACTGGAAACAAGAACGGTTTATGTTTGTGGTGATGGAACAGCTTCTTGCCAACCACGTCCCAGGAAGGTGGTGACACCTCCTCGCTGTCATCAGAGTGGAGGAAATGGCCCAGGGTTGGGGCCAGAAACTTCCCTGTGGCCCTGGCGTGCTGGTCTGCCTTAGTAAGCCCCTCTGGTGACAGGAGGAGACAGACAGACAGAACTCAGTGTTAGGTTAGAAAGAAACCCCATCGAGCAGCCAAATGTTTGTTGGGGCCTGTCTGAGAGGCTGTCTGTCCCCCATGGGGGGAATCGTTATTATTCCATTTTACTTATGGGGAAACCGAGGCACAACCATGAAGTGACCTGTCTCAAACTACACAGCCTCAAGGGGGTTAGGATGGGATTTGACTTCAAGTCAGACGCTCCTGCTCCTCTGCACCGCTGCTGTGTCACCTCTAAGGAACCCCAGGACAGGTGTTAAATGCGGGCTCCTGGCATCATCTATAGGCAGGGATCCCCATGGAAACCGTAAGCATCTACATGTGTGCTCTGCACAGCCTCTGCCACGCCCCTCAGCAAAGGCATCACCCTGTCCCATTACACTCACAGGGCAAAGGCCTCGGGCTCCAGTTCACCTGGGGGGACCAGTATTTGTCAAGTGGAGCAATGGCTC